CCCCAAAACCCCAAAACCCCAAAACCCCATGAGGCATAAATCTGATAAATCTTTGATAAAATTAAATGTTTAAACTAATCAGTAATATGCAAATTTAAAAATCATTTAGAATTGATACAAATTTCAAAAAATTCACTTTTATTTATGCATTTTTTAATTATCTTCATTGTTCATTTTCTTAAACATACCTCATTAAAATCAAGATCAAATATATCAAACTTCATCTTGACGAACTTTGTATTAAATTAGCTTCCTATGAATTATCTAAAGACTGATTCATCTATCTTAGATTATAGCTAAAGTTGTCAAAAATGTCCTAATTTTTCTTTGTAATATGCATTGTTAGTTATGAATTCGCTTAATTTTACAATTATTATCCATTATACTAATTACTTTAAATCATGGCAGTTGATGTTTCTTACTTAGATTAAAGATCATAAATAGTTTCTTAACTCTGTAAATTTTTCAATATTTCCATTATCACAGATCTTTTTTTACTTATCTTATATCTCTTGATTAATTACACATATTTCTACCATATAATTGTAGCTATGTTTACCAGCAAAAACGTTATAGTTAAAATGATTGGTAAATAGCCTATATACACTTTAAACTAGAAATCTAAGTTATAATGACTGAGAAACGGAATAAAGCTGTATAGAATAGCCATGATGAAAATTTCATTTATCACTTCAAGTTAGTTCAAATAAGAGTTATTATATGGCTGCAGCTTGATTATAATAATTGTGCTGATTAATTCCAATTGGCATAGAAGCAAGATTTGGATGGCCTGAAGGTCCTCAAGTACTACAATAATTATGGAGTATAAAAGTCTTTTAAGCAAACAAATAGCATGATAGTAGATAACTATACTGTCTTGCTTTATTTTAATATTTTCAATTAAGCATCCATATTGAGTTTAGAAACTGATTCCATTCATCATTTCATTATAGTTTCTTATCTAAATTATAGCAAAAGCAGGTAAGCATATCATTAGAATCATTACTACAAAAGCAAAAATTGAACCTCCGATTTAGCCTATATATCCAAAGTTTAACTAAGATAAAATCAAACTAGAGATTTTAGTTACCTAGTACATATTTAAGATTGCACATATAGTTAGCTCAATTGAGGATTCGTACAAAAATCTTAGAATCGTATTATAAAGGACCACTTACTATGATTTCTTGATTAACTTCTTAACTCTATAGCTTTAAGTAATAAAAAAGTTACATTCGAATTTAAAAGTTGAATTGGCTTAGAAGGATAACAGATATAGTTAAAAAAATAATTAATACAAGAGCATAAAACATCAATCCAAGATTTAATATGATATTCTTTGAGCTGTAGTTCATTAGAGAATAAAAATAATTGAATGGCTCATAATCTTCAAACTCATCAAATTCAAATATGGCTCTATTAATGTTATCTGTTGGTATGAGATTAAAGCTAGCAATATCATTAATGAAACCAAAGAAGTATAGAGTATTTGAAGGAATCATTATGGATATTAAAGATAGATGAGTAATCATCTAGAAACTATTTATCATGCCCCATATTAACTGCATCGATTAACTCCTTTAAGTTTAATATATATTGAGAATTACAAGAAAAGATTAAGTAGAATATTAGTGCCAAAAACAGTACTCATTGTATACAAGATAACTGCTCCAACGATATTGTTCAAATCATTCATATCTAAAATTCTTAATTCCTAATTTATACCTGTTGTTATTTAAGGGGGTAGTAATGCTGAAATTTCGTAGTTTTCTGGTATAATGAGGAGCTTATTTATAGATAGAAAATCATAGTCTTTTTTAAAAACTACTATAATGCTGTTGAATTCCTGTGATATGTTACAGTTGTAATAATATTACTTGGCCTTAAGATAGTAGAGAAGGATCTTAAATAAACAATATCTTTAAGTTTATAGTTTGATCATAGAATTATTTAACTTCGTATCCTACTTTGATTTCCGAATCTTTCGTGACTATCCTTAGCTAAGTTTAAAATGAAAGGGGGAAAAATTACTTCCAAAGAATCATTTAGATAGTTCTAAAAATTAGCATATAGCAGCATCTTATCACTAAATAGGATGTATACATGACCAGTATTAGTAACTTTTTTTATTCTTGCTCTTAAAAATCCTTTAGTCTCTTCTTTGATCTATTTGATTCTATTTACTTCAGTTATATTTAGTGATTCACTCGCTAAAACATTTACCTTCAATGTATACTTATTTTAAATATCTGGTTTCAATGAGTCTTTAAGCTTTATAACTATTTCATACTAGCCAGAGAATCCAATTTAGGGTAAAAATTCAATCTAGCCTGATTTAAACTTACAAAATATTGCGCTCTATCCAAAGTTTGTTTCAATATAATAGCTACGACTCTCTTGATCCACAATTTAAGGTAATTTATAGGTCAATAACTAACCCTCAACCAAAGTCTAATCCTATAATGGCTCTAAAAACATTGGAGCTGCAGTATTGATCATATAAGCATTTGATATAAGGTAAATCTAGAACCTATTAATGAAAATAGCTTAACCTATTTAATCTTTTTCATTAATTATTGCAGTTACCTTTCCATTTAAATTAGACTCAGTGCATTTAATAACAATCACTCCTTAATCTTAATCTAGATAAATACAACTAGGCAAGTTTCTTCCATTATTTAAAAACAAGTAGTATTAAGGATTTGTGCATCCAGATGGCTCAAAGCTATGATTTATAAATGTTTGATTAGCTGCATCCTACCCAATCATAAAGAACATATTCTTAAAATTGGGAAATTTTATATAATTCAATTGATTTTAGCAGAAGTCTACTTGTAGAGTGAATTAAGATTCATGATAACTGTATGTAAATCCATTTTTTAATTTCACAAATGCCTTGACAACTATTGTATGTTTGCCAATAAATATCTTTTTTTATGGATGGCTATTACTAGTTTCTTAGAGAGATACTTCAAGTATAATTGTAGAAAAATCAATTTATTATTGTCTAGTAATCTAGTCTAAGTCTTCATTCTTATCTGTGATGCTAAATTCTAGAAAACTCACATCTGAGCAGCTTTTAATTGAGTAGTTTCCTATTTTAATGGTGCAGGGACATCCTATAAAGCAGACAGTGGTATTTTTAAATGATTTTCCTTAAGAAACTTCAATTTTGGGGTATCCTCCTACTAAACTGCAGCTATTGTCATTATCAAACATATGCTGATTTTTTCTAATGTCAGTAAGTTCTAAAGTCATCTAGTGCTTTATACTATAATAAGGACTCACCCAATCCACATCTATAGATGGTTGATCTTGTTACCCTTATATAAAATTTTTCATTATTTCGGTTTTTTAGCCTACATCAGTAATATCAGACACTAAATCATTGAATCCATAGCAGCCAAATTGTTTTCCAGTGGGCTAACTTCTATAAATAACTCCATAGGAATTGCCCGATGTTTAATGGTAGTACCTTCCAATTAGATAAAGATATTAATATTATTCTAACTAACTAAGTATCTGAGTCCAATATATTTTCTTTCCAGGATTATTTGAAGACTCATACCAAGCTACTAAGATTTCATCTTGGTTCTTGTCAAAAAACTTTTCATAATCTATTAGAATTACAAAAAGTCTATCCTCCCCATCATAGTAATTTGTATCAGTATAGTAACTCTATCTAATATAAACTTACAATCTTGTAGCATTCATTTCCTATATTCAAAATAAGCTATAATTAAACTTACTATTTCCAAACATTATAGCTAATAGTTACCATCTATTGACTCTTACTAAATAAGATATCTGCCACCATAGTTGTAATTTTATGATTCTTGAGAATTTTGTAAAGTAAAATAGCCAATAAAGTTTTAATTTGATTTTGATTATAGGCATCCAATGTGCAAGTTTTAAGATTCTAAAAACTTTAAAATATGAGGGTAAAGAGCTTATACATCTACATTGTATTTAAATGCTACATTAAAAACTTGCTGTCCATTTGATTCTAGTACTCCAACTAATGAAAATGCCTTATAAAAATCATTTTCGATATTTCCAGTAAAAACAATATAAGAATCTAATGTATAATATAGAAAAAAGAGTTATCAATATTTGTAAAATTCCATCGAGCTTCTCTAACTCCAAATTATCTAGGAAAGATCAGAATTTATTTTCAATATAAAACTATTATCAGATTCAAAATCAGTTGAAATTGTATAGAGATTTGATTAATTATCTATATCCATAGATTAAAACAATACGTTTGCTTCTCTGCCAGCAATTTAACTAGAAAATAGTATACTACCATCATAAGTACTAACTTTTACAAAAAGATGCCCATAGTCAGAATATGTATTGAAACCTATCCTTGCAAAGAATATTTCATCATCAGATATTCTTGTGAGTCCTTATACATTATAAAGATTGTAATCTTCATATTTTGATTAAATCTTATTCATCCATGATATTCTTGTATAACTACTTAAATCTTTATAGTAAAAGTAGCCTAGAAATGGACTTTATGAGTCAGTACCTCCAAATAGGAAGCCTTAGTCATTACGATCTGTAGCAATGACAGAAATCTCATAGTCATTTTTGCCATCACCTACAAATATTGGGAATTGATCCTTGCTGAAGCAATTTTCAGGTCTACCTTATAGCTAAAAGATTGCAAGTAGAAGCATTTGATAAATCAAATACCTAAAGCACATGAAGTTTGTTTAAATCTGGCAAGCATTTTTTAAGCTAATTTGAGAAGTAATAATACACTTCATATCTAAATATACTGATTGTATAATAATTAAAACTATATTACAAAAATGTTTTCTACTATTAAACTGGCATCTAATTTTATATTTATAACTATGCTATATTATCTTTATTGATCTGACATATGGGGTTTTGGGGTTTTGGGGTTTTGGGG